TGACTTCTCACCAGAGAGTAAGTTCTGCTTCCCAAGCTGCAGTGGGAGCGTTCCTCGACGCAGTACTGTGTGGTCACCAATGAACCCATCCGGTTCAACCAAGAACAGCCACCCACCCGTGCCAGGCGCCGGGGAACAGCACTGAGCAAGTCGGCTCCCCCCATGGGTCCTAACAGGAGAAGCATTGAACTTGCAGCGCAAGGAGAGACAGGTGCCAGAAGCGGCGCTGGTGGTCAGGCTGGACACATAGGGCGGGCCTGGCCGAGAAGGTCACAGCTGAGGACAGACTTACAGTGTGACAGGAAGGAAGGGCATCCCAGGCAGAGTGCGAGGGGCCAGGCCGGAGCCCAGGCAGAGCGCGGGGGCCAGGCCAGAGCCCAGGCAGAGCGCGGGGGCCAGGCCGGAGCCCAGGCAGAGCGCGGGGGCCAGGCCGGAGCCCAGGCAGAGCGCGGGGGCCAGGCTGGAGCCCAGGCAGAGTGAGGGGGCCAGGCCGGAGCCCAAGGCAGGCCTGTGCCCTGCGTGGCCAGGCGCGGCGGCGGCCAGCCGTGGGACAGAGCCCACCTCCAGGGCCTCAGTGTTTGCTGAGTGCAGCGAGCCTGCAGCACTCCAGACAGAGAGGAGACACGATGTGATGTAAAGCTCCTCACTGTGTGGAACACAGCCTCTGAGGTCCGAGAGCTGGGGAGGCTGGGAAGGGAGACCAGGCCTGAGGCCTTCAGTGTGTGTGACGTGGCGAGGCCCGGTCCTCGTGCACTGTGAAGATGAGGCTGCCGGGGTCAAGAAGGGTGACAAGGGATATGGGAGAAAGGGAGGTGTCACGAGTGACCTCGGGGTGTGGCCTGGGCCTCTAGAAGGGTGGGACTCCCCAAAACTGAGGTGGAGAGAGGGGCTGCGGGCAGACAGGCCCCGGGGAGGAGAGGGGATCAACCCCCACGCGGCCGAGATTCTGGAACATAAAAGGTGGGCATCATCCACACGCAGAGGCTTCTGAGGCCCCGAGATGGGGGCGGGAGGGAGAGGAGAACGGAAAGCACAAAAAAAAAGGGCGGATCCAGTGCACTCCGGCATTAACAGGTCTGGGGGAGAGCAAAGCAGCTGAGGAGAAGTGAGTGAAGGAGAGGAAGCAGGGAGGGCTGGGCAAGGCAGATGATTCACAGAGGAAGGATGGCGGGGTCTGCTACCGAGGGGACCCCGCATCCCAGCAGGCTGAGCACCCCGCGGTGGGTGCACCGCCGCGGTGGGAGGGCAGCTCGTGGGCATTGCTGACTCCTTACCAGTCAGGAAGATCCGCAGTATCTCCTGTTTCTCATCCAAGGTGAACTGATCACAGCACCACGTTTTCTGTGCCACTCAAAAGAACGCAGCCATGGCACCCCAGCCCTCTGCACCCTCCCCGAGATGCTCACCCCTGTGTGGTGTTAAATTGTGCGTCTTAGAACCCGAGGTATGACTTTGTTTCATGACGGGCAGCTTGGGGATTCTCATCTTCGCTTCCAGTGAGGAGCAGAGGCTGGGACCTGGGGACCTCACCCCGACTCAAAGCCTGACATTTGCTGTGCCTGACTCGCGCGTGATCTTGACCACCGCGCGGTGGTCAGCCCTTCCCCTGGAAGTCTGCTGCAAGCATTCTGTAGAGAAAGGCCTGTGCTTCGTCCACGTAGGGCCCGGGGGCTGCGGTGACCCCCGCCCGGAGGAGTGTCCGTCACTAACTGAAACCCAGCACTGGCTAAGTCAACCATCAACTCCCGTGGGGCTCAGCTTCTCGGTCGTGGGTAAATAGCCAGGATTCCTTGGCGCCAGAAGCGTGGGGAATTCTGCTCTGCTTTAGCTTTGTCAACAACATGGTCTGCCGTGCCCAACTTCCAGGTGAATCGATGGGAAGGGTGCCAGCCAAACCCTAGCAAAGCAGTAGCTCCTCTGCCAAGGATAAGTGCACACGTAGGTGGCATTTTCCACGACAAAGCCAGTGTTCCTCCCTCAGCTGACTCTTCAGTCTTCATCCGCTATCGATGAGGGTTGAACCAAGAACACAGAGCCAGTGGCCCCTTGATTCCTCTGTGCCTGTGAGCACACATGTATATGGAAGATCGTTTGTGTCACCTTCCCAGGAAACAGAGAACTACTAAACACCAGCTGGAGTTCACCCACTGCCCTGGCTTCTCTTCTGCACCGCACTTGCTTTGGAGGCCACTTGGGCCTAGAGTGCTACTCAGCTCACTTGGTCCAGTTCCTTTTTTCTTTTTTGGCAGGGGAACTTGAAAGTCCTCAAGCCCTTTTTGCTTTTTTTTTTTCCTTAGTAAGTTCTCACATTTTTGCCCACGCTGGCCTAGACTACAGTTGTCCGGTTTACACTTCCTAACCAGCTGGGGTGCCAGGGGTGTGACATCATGCCTGGCTCTTTATTGGTTGAGATGAGATCTTGAGAACTTTTTGCTGACTGGCCTCCATGCTCACAATGTCCAGCTCCTGAATAGTTAGGATTACAGGCATGAGCCGCTCTGCACATGGCCTCCACGACTCTTTACAAGACCTCAGGTTCTGCAGGAAAACAGCTGTGCTTGTGAAGACTGCACATGCTCTTCCAGTATGTGACTGTGATCATTGGGAACTGCTGGCCGGGTGAATAAATGGTGTATGGTCAGGGGAGGAGGGTTCACTGCTTAAGTCTGTCAGTCTTTCTAGTTTATAAATGTGTCCTTCAGATGCCCTTTGAACGGATTATAGCTCCTCACAGGGTCTCTTGTCTGAATGAGAGCTGTGGTTTATTTTTCCTTTTCACTCTTTGTAGCTGGAAACTCACAAGACGGTGTGGGTGAACCTGGTTATCTCCGAGATCCTTGATGGGGTGACAACAGGAGCAACGTGCCGCGATGGCCCCCGCGCCAGCCGGCAGCGCCTGACCCCCACCCTCCGCCTGTCTGCGTGCCTGGCTCCCAGTCTGTGTGTGTGTGTGTGTGTCACAGTGCACAATGAAGGTGAAGCTAGAGCAGATTGCTGTGAGTTGCTGTCACAAAGAGCACCGAGAAGGCTGTGGAAATGCTGAACACAGGTTTGCATTGGAATCCATGCACTCAAGCTTTGCGCCTCCATCTGGAAGGAACCCCAGGCATCAGGCCTGAGAGGCACAGAAGAGGCACCCCCTGATGCACCCCAGCCTCCCCAGCTGCCCAGTGTGAGGTTTGCGTTTGTGTGGTTTGCATCCTTAGTTACAACTAACTGAAAAATGTACCAGTAGGGGTGGGGGGAATGATGTGCATTGGAAGGAAAGTGGATGGACCAAAGTCAGGCTTCTGAGACAAGGTCACAGCCCTCAGTAGCCAGGCAGCTTTGTCCTGTGTGCTTCCAAACGCTCAGAGGGGCTGGGGGGGAGGGGCGCAGGGCTGCATTGGTAACCACGTTCTTAGACAGTTCTCCCCATCACTGAGGACCTGGGACAGGACACTTCTGGAACTGAGATGATGAGTCTGGGACCTCTGGGCAGGCATCCTGTTCTTAAGGCCTTCCTGTACTGGAAGGTCAGTAGTAAGCAAGTCGTGTATCCCATTGTCTTTGTAGGAGAAAGATGCCCGTCAGCCAGGCATCGGTGGCTCAGGCCTGGAATCCTATCTACTCAGGAGGCTGAGATCTGAGGATTGTGGCTCAAAGCCCCAGTAGGAAAGTACATGAGACTTATCTCCAAAATTAACTCCCCCCACCCAAAAAAAAGGAAGCCAAAATGGAGCTGTGGCTCAAGTGGTTTAGCTTTGATTTAAAAAAAAAAACTCAGGGATAGTGCCCAGGCCCTGAGTTCAAACCCTGAACTGGCACCAAAAAAAAAAAAAAAAAAAAGTGCCAGGTGTAGTTTCTGTGACTGTGAGCTCCTCACACATACATATGTATGCAATGAACTCTTAGATTCCTGGTTTAGTATTCACAATCCTGGTCTTCAATTAAGTCTCCCTACTGTTCCTCAGGTCAACCAGATGACCACACCTCTGTAAGACTAAAAGAGACAGCAGCTTTGCACTGTTGCTCGAATGCTGCCCTTTTGTCCTAACAATGAAACATCCTCTAGATACCTCTCTCTCCCAGTGTGCTGGTTGGGGAATGGCTGCAGGAATTCTCCTTCAGGGTTGCCTTGCTCTCCCTTTGCCCATCTAGACTTTGGAGCGATTTGCAACACTGCTTAGCTCCTGTCAGAGTGCCCTGGAGGCCCCTGGGCTGAACCACCCTCCCTCAGACACCGAGTACCATGGCATGTGCAGAGCCTCTGATCGCACGCACTGCTGCGGTCATTCAAGCTGCCTAAACACGATGTGCAGCACACACCGCACTGCTGATGGCTTTAACACCTCGTTTTAAAACCTACAACAAGTCAAGAGTAACCCATTTTGCCTGTAAATTTGTTTTCTTAGGAATGTTATTCATGGCCATCTTGGAAAACATTTGTTATATCATTGGACTCTCCCATCTCCATAGGTCTTAAGAATTTAACATTCTTCCAAGCATGGGCAACTTCCGTGGTTTGGACACAGAGTTACCCAAAAACGGCTCATGTGTGGAAAACGCAGCCCCCAGCCAGTGACCTTGGAGATGATTGGCTCATGAGCATTCTGACTTCACCAATGGATTATTAATCTCTTGATGAATTCGCAGCTGAGTGTACTATTAAAGAAAGAGTGGGGGTCTGGTTGGAGGACAGAGACCACTGTGGTGTCTATGATATACTGACCCCTCTCCTCTTGCTCTCTGCTTCCTGGCCTTCATGATGAGCAGCTTTGCTCCTCTCCACCAATGCTCTGTTACCACAAGTCCGTAGCAATGAGGCCAGTGGACCACAGAACGCACACTCTAAACTGGAGATTGAAATTAATCTTTCCTCCACTAAATGGTCTGTCAGAGGTACTTTATCACGGCTGGGAGGCCTGCTCCTCTCTCCGCAAAGGAAGGAACAAGGAACTTGCTCTCTGTGAAGAGTGAGGCGTCCGTGCCCGTGTGACCTCCCTCTGTCTGCCCCGCAGGTCTGCCGACGTGAGCGCCAACTCTCCGCCGGCCAGTACCAGGGAACCCTCTTTGCTGACCAGCCCTTGATGTTCATCACCCCGGCCAGCAGCCCCCCCAGAGCCAAGCTGTGCGAGCTGGTGCTCCTGAGCGGAGGCCACGTCAGCCCAACCTCCCAGCAGGCCGTCATCGTCATCGGACCCTACACTGGAAAGAAGAAAGCCACCGTCAAGTATCTGTCAGAAAAATGGGTCTTAGGTAAGAACACGGGCAGTGGGAATCCAAGAGGGAGGGACAGGGGAGACATGGCCATCGGGAATTGGCTAGAAAGCCATTGCTTGGTGGGCACACTAGTTAGGGCAGGCTTCACAAGAGGGACATCCGGCGCCCCTGCCCTCCTTCCACAGGGCCTAGCGGTAATAGTCAGTGACTGTCCTGGTGACCTCCCCCTTCCTTGTCAGCTGAGGTGAACGTGCAGTAGTACCTGGTTTACACGTCCCTGCTCCCTGATTGCATACAGTTACCCCTCACCTCCCAGCAGCGAGCAGTGTGACAGCAGCCCACGGAGAACAGCGATGTGTTCTCCAGGGAGGAGAAGCCAGGATGCCGCAGTTGCTGCCCTTCCAGCGCTCTCCTCCCACGCGGCGGTGACAGGAGGCTATCGCCACCCACGTCACCCAGCCCCCAGGCCTGCAGGGAGCAGCCAGGGATGTGCATCCAGTGAGCACGCGCAGCCAGGGACAGCAGCCTTTGTGCCAGGCTGGCCATCCCGAGGTGGATACGCTCCACTGCTCCCTCCAAAGGTTCTGTTGTTCGTGCTGTTAGCTACGTTGTAAGGGTTTCAGTGTGCACGGTATAAGAGCGACACCTTGAAAATGAAAACAGACCATAATACTTCATCACACGGATAATCATCACATCACCTGCTCCATAGATGGTGCTCTTGGGCCATTGCAAAAATGTCTTTGTTTGGTTTTTTTTTTTTTTTTTTTTGCAAAATAGGTGTTTGTTAGGAGTAAGCACCGCATGCAGCAGCCAGTCAGTGTCTCGCGGTTCTGGAGGCTGCAAGTCCAGGACCAGGTGGTCACAGGGTAGGCTCACCCAGAGCCTCCCTCTGCCTGCCGGTGGTGCCTTCTCCTAGTGGTCTTCCCTCGTGTCCGCACTCCCTCTCCAAGACAAAGCCCGCCCTCAAGGCCTCATTTTACCCTGCAGCGGCCTCGAAAGTCCATGTGCACAAATGCAACCACAGAGTGCGGTGCCAGGGGCTTGAACACAGGACTGGTAAGTGACACAGTCCAGCCCTGGCCACGCCTGCTCCAGCATCACCCCGTGACCAAGAGCCTCACCTGGATTCTTCAGCACTGGTTCTTTCTCTCCGTCCATCTCCGTCTCTGCTCCGTCTCTCTCTTCCCTTTCCTCCTTCTCCTGACCTGCTCCCTCTCCTCCTGCTCCTTTTCAGTCCACCTAACGTAGGCTTTGTCCCTGTCTCTCAATCCCAAATGTGTGGCTTTTTTCACCCATTTCCAGACACTATCCTTTAACAGGTGATCGATGCCACATTTATGCAGAGGCACATGCCTTTTGTGAATATCTGTAAATGATTGATGCTCATTGCGACGCACTTTTCAAGTGTGGTAGTCAAGTCGGTTTTTACTGCCTGGTACAGAGCAAGTTATCTTTTTCCTGGAAACTAACTTAAAAACAAACCCCTTCTAACTACATTCCAAAAGCCAAGAGGTTGTTTACTCTTTCCTAAATTCCAAGAATCTGACCCTCAAACATCCTATGTTCTGAAAACAGAGCTTCTTGTTTTGTTTTCTAGAGAAGCGTACGTATCAAAATGGCACTAACGACAGATCGCAATCGTGCTTTGGACATGTCTCATCCAGCTGATTCATATCCACAGTGATCTCACACGGAGGTCCCGGCCGGGTCTGCACCGCTCTGTTCCCCGGTAATGGCGGCAGGCTTCCCGTGCCCCTGTCCCCACCCCCACCCCTCACCCCCTTCCGTCCAGTCGCTCGCTCAGTTCTTCCAGTTGCTTGGCTGGGCCTCTGTCTCGCTGGTGGGCTTCGGGTGAAGTCTGTCTACACAACACCCAGGCTTAGCTTGCACAGCCTGTGGGGGTGGGCTGTGAGCGCCAGTTTCAGTTTCTTTTCTCCCCATAATGCACATCCTGTTTAGGCTTTTCATTGATTAGGCCTCTGCGTGGGCCTTGGCAGCATCCGGGTATTGTGTGGCTGCCGCCCTGGCCCTGTCCGTGCAGCCCCTCCCCACCCCCGGCCCCGTTGTGTTCGTGTTTTTGCTTTCTGCATTGAATCACAAAGCAGTAGCCCCCCGCTGTGTGCCACAGCACAAGTACGATTGCTCTGTGTTCATGTTTTCAGGCACAGACCTACAGAGCGTGCCACACAGCCCTGCTGTCCCCCGCCCCAGCTTATAATCCACCCTGCTTTCCTTGCGTGCTGCTCCAGGGAGATGGCGGCTGTGGGGTATCGCAGGCCGCCTGCTCCTCGTACGTCATCCTCCTGACCCTCACAGACCTACGTGTGTCCTTAAACATTTCTCTAGAGATGTGTTACTTTCGCAGTGTTGTAGCATTTATTGATAGGAAGATGCCAAACTGCTTGAAAGCATCAATTTGAAAGAAAAATGATTGTGTTGTGGTCATAGATGAAAATACTTCTCAGAATTCATCAATTAAATTTATTCCAACTTCAATAATGGTGGTAGTGAAAGGGCAAATCTCTAAGAGTCTCAAGAGTAGTTTAGATAAAATAGCCACTTAAAATTCTTAAAAGTAAGCCAGACACAGGTGCTAGCACCTGCAATTTTATCTATTCAGGAAGGATGAGATCAGAAGGATCTTAGTTCCAGCCCAGGCATATACATGAGACTCATTCTCAAGCAATAAGTGGGCACTGCAGTATACACATCTCATCAGAACTACAACAGGAAGTCTAAAAAGGTGTACCACAGTCCAGTCACATGCTAGGATGGATAGACGAGGAGAGAGGAGTGAGACCTTATCTTAAAAGTAACCATTGCATAGAAATGATGAGGGGTGTGGTTCAGCGACTGAGTTCACACCTGGCAATGCAGCCCTTAAGTTCAAAGCCCAGCATCGCCAAAAAGAAAAGTGTTTAATAATATTATTTTCTTTAAATAGTTGTGCAGAGTAGTTACCATTCAACAAAGCGGTTGGTGAACACAGTGCATCACTCTCCAGTACCCTCCTAAACCACCTTTCCCTCACTTTCTTATATTTTGTGGGATACGTATTGAGTTTTTACTACGTTCTCTTCGTCCCCTTCTCAAGAAATGTTTTAGAAATAGCTCATGACATCACTTCCAGATTAGATTTGAAAGTTACCCTCCAACATGAGAACTCTGGGGTTTAAAGGTTTATTTATCTCTATGTATTATAGTTTATGAGGTTCGTGTGTGTGTGTGCGCGCGCACGCGCACACGCACGTGTATGCAAGAGAAAAGAGGGCACCAAAGTACAGTCTGTCTTTTCCCAGAACTGCTAACATCCTACTATTCACACCTATCTGTTAAGCATATTACTCCTGTACTGTCTGTATCACAAAAACAAACAGAAACACCCAACATTTACAAATTAAGTGGTACTCCACAGACTTCGCCCTGGTCCGCTGGGCGTGACCCTGGGTGACCCTGGTGTGTCTTCCCTGCCTGTGAACGGAAGGGGGAGACACAGAGTCACACAGGGCCACGGCACCAGCCACTGCAGCCCTGCACAGAGCACGTGGTGCCCGCCAGGCCACCTTACAGCAAGGTCACTTGGACAGCCACCATATTGTTCCTTGCTCCTCCCCAGAGCCTGCTTTCCCTGAAACACCACTGTGCTTGGGCCAAGATTATTCATGAATCATTCACCCAGGAGGAGAAATGGGGATTTTGGAGCCAGAACATGCTTATGGGCACTAGAATATGGATGGAAATAAACAGGAAAACAAAAATCAGATTCCCAGCACCAGCAACTACTTGTTTTCAGTAATCCACAGACCATTTGAAAGCATTTTTGTGGGGTTTTTTTTGTTTTGCCCTTTGTTAAAAGTTTTATTTTTATCTTTAAGTAGTTATGCAAAAGAATTACCATTTACCCAAGTAGCATATGAGTAAAATGGGTCTGATCAATGTCACTCCTTACATCGTTTACCCCGTCCCTCCCAGCCCAACCCCTTCTCTCAATTTCCTTAATTTTGCAGAATATGCACTGCATTTTTTTTTTTTTGTCGGTCTGGGCGCTGTCCCTCAGCTCTTTAGCTCAAGGCCAGCACTCTACCACTTGTGCTACAGCGCTACTTCCCGTTTTCTGGTAGTTTATTGGAGATAAGCGTTTCACAGACTGTTCTGCCTAAGCTGGCTTTGAACCATGATCCTCAGATCTCAGGCCTTCTGAGTAGCTAGGATTACAGGCATGAGCCACCAGTGCCCAGCTATGCATTGCATTTATGACTGCATTTCCTCCCCTCTTTCTCTCATTATTTGTCTACCCTCCTCCCCTGAGCCTCCCCCAACCCCCTTTCAAGTACCCATTTCCTGGTATTTACTATGTTGGACTGTGAGTTAGCCTTTCTAAGGAATTATATCATTTGAGTTCTCCCCTCAATCTACCATATTTCCATTAATACACTTGAATACCATCCTGAAGTATATATTTATATTTGTATATATAATTTTAACTTGCATATATGAGAAAAAATATGATGTAACCTTTGTTTTTCTGGGCTTGACATACTTCACTTAACATAATTTTTTCCAGGTCTTTTCATTTCTTTGCAATGTCCTTCTTTCTAATGGCTGAGTAAATTCCATTTGGGTACATATAGCACATATTCTTAATCCATTCGTCCATTGAGGGGCATCTGGGCTGATTCCATAGCTTGACTATGGTGAAAAGTGCTGCAGTGAACACGGTTGTGCTGGTGGCTTTACTGTGTGTCCTGGTGTGTAATCTTTTGGATAAATGCCCTAGGGTGGAATTGCTGGTTCATAGGGTAGTTCTATGTTTAGGGTTTTTGCGGGAATCCCCATACTGCTGAAATCATTTCTAATGGTCAGACTTCCCTCTGCAGTGATGTGTAGCATTCCCATTTAACATGTTGAGCAATTCAGAGCTGTGCCCAGGGTGAGGAAGGGGTCCTGGTGGAGCTGAGTCTGTGACATGGCACTGTGGTCATTTCAGATGTCCCTCCCCTTTGGTGCTACGTTTGGCCTTTCTCACCAGACCA